GAGTTGACCCCTAAAATCATACGAGCAAGCTGAATTTTGCAGAGAATATTAATTTGAGGACCTCAAAAAAGTTGCAAAAAAGTTTACCACTTTTACCCTCGGGACCAAGAATCTGTACACCTTAGAAAAAAATGTTTCAAATAAAACATTTAGCTGAGATAATTAACGTGGCACTATTTTTGCTATTTTTTACGATTCTCTTGAGATCAATAAAATTGATCACTTTCATTGAACAGTTGTAGTAAAATTTCAATTTTTAGAGATCAATCTTTAAAACCTCTGATATGAAATTTCAATTTTGAGTTGTGGTAAGAAATATGAGGCATTTGAAATATGAATAAAAAACGCAGAATTTAATGTTTTACGTTATAAACGATCACACATCCGGAAAATGCATTTAAGAAGACGGTTTTGGGTGTAACTTTTATTACAGAAGTTCTTTTGAAAAACGTACTATACTCTGTCTCAAAGTGATTAGTCTGTACAGGGAAAGACATGCAATGCTAACCTTATGGGAATTTCGCCAAGACGTTGCCAGTTTTAAGCAGTGGGCGATGGCGTTCTCTATTGTCTATCTTTCAAAATAAACGGAATAAACCAGGAGTTCTCAGCAAGTCCTCTAATCCGCTTGCTAATAATTTTACATAATGCTATACATTATTTGTTTCTAATAGTAACTTATCAACTTTTATCTTTTATTAGTAGCAGTAGTATAATAAAATGTGCATTAAATAAACATTTGTTTCTCATAAGTTTTTCAAATACTTTCTTCTAAGTTATTCAGTAATTAAGAAGCAATTAGAGTAATTCTTGTACAAAATATGTTTAAAAGCTTGATACATCTAGGGCCTTAATTAGTCTTTATTTGTTCTTCGGAGCGCTTAAACATATTCGAGTTACGATTATTTGTACCATCTTAGATGTACTGTTACTGTTTTGTTATTGTTATTATTTGTTGGTGTCTGTTGTTGTGATTTGCTGTTGGCAATTATTGCTATTTTCTGTTGTTGGCTATTGTTATATTTGACCCCGAATTTTTACCGCAAAATGGAGAAAATTGTTCAATGGAAACGTGAAAAGTTCTGAAACTTTCAGAGAAGCAGATACTAATGAATATTATTAATTATCATCTTAATCAGGATAACAACGATTCTGTATTCTGTATGAAATGAGTGGTGTTTGCGAAAAAAATCTGTTTCGCATACGACAGGAATATTCATCACCTGCTGGATTACAATCTCCAAAGAACAGGCCCAAGAAGCGAACGGTTGGTAATTCTCGTGACAACAAGTACGATGAAGGTGTCAGGGGCCAAATTCGTAAAATAGTTCATCAATTTTTTCGTGACAACATACCACAAACAATAAACACCATATTAGTGTTGTAATGTAAGAAACTTGCACTTTCACGGCTACATTCGCTTGCTGAGTGATATGGATTTTGTGTTTATAAAACGTGGCAGAAATTCAATTTTGATTGAAAAACCAGAAATCATCTTGTGGCGTCATCGTTACTTACGCGCAATTCGTAAATACCGTGCAGAAGGATACAACATAGTGTATTTGGATAAATCATGGGTAAATATCGGGCACAGTGTGAAAAAAGAATGGGTTAATAAAACAATTACATCTCATCGCGATGCTTTTGTTCGTGGTCTGACAACAGGATTAAAAGCTCCAACAGTTCGTGGTGCACGGTTCGTTTTATTGCACGCAGGATCTACCAGTGGATTTGTTGATGGAGCAGAGCTCACGTTTTTGCCAAAGAAAAATACTCAGGACTACCACGACGAAATGGATGGACCGACCTTCGAAGATTGGTTCGAAAATAACTTAATGCTAAATTTGCCAGAAAAAACTGTTGTGGTAATGGACAATGCCTCCTATCACAGCAGAAAGTCAGAACAAATTCCCAACAGTTCAACACTAAAAAAAGATATTCAAGAATGGCTTCTGTCAAAGGAACTATTTTTTGAAGAAGACTACCTAAAATGCGAGGTACTTGATGTAGTCAAGGCCTTCAAAGCAAAATATGACAGGTACATAATAGAAGATATTGCCAAAAAGCACAATGTGAAGATTCTGAGGCTCCCACCCTATCACTGTAAACTCAATCCCATCGAAATGGTTTGGAGTGAAGTGAAACGGTATATAGCTGGACGCAACGCGAATTTTAAAGAAGATGAAATGCGAAATTTAATTACAGCAGCTTATTTAATTACAGCAGCCAGGTCATTGCGCCAGAGAAATGGGAAAACTACGTAAACCACGTAATAGCAACACAAAAAAATGTAGGAAATTGACAATTTGTTGGATGATATCGAACCAATTATTATAAATATAAATAACGGAGATAGTGATGACAGTGACGAGAATAATGATGATGATGATAGTTAAGCAGAAACTAAATGTGACAGCGATTGACAGAAAAAGGAACTAAATATAATGGTGTACAATTACGATTACTTACACACGAAATTAAATACAATGACTTCTTTTATTTTCAACTTATTTATTAGTTTTATTTTCGGATATTTCTACGTTTTGTTACTGCCAACATATACAGTGCGGTTTTTAAAAGTCCTTCCCCCCTTAACTTTTGAACGGAACAATACATAAATAAAATGTTTCTTTATATTTTAGTTTTATTTTATTCGATTTTATTTAAATCTATAAACAAATGGTTTGTATCGCTAGCACATACTGTAGAATTAAAAACAAACTGCTTGTGTGACATAAATAAAAGGCATTTCTTAATTTCTATTTTATTTTAATTTAACCCAAGTATGTTGTAGCAAATATTATTTATGTTTGAGAACCACTGACAGAAGGAAGCCAGGCAGGGTCGTTAGTGGGCATTAGTACTTAAGCTACCCTCAAAAACACAAAAGATGGATTAGGCTAAGTAGTAAGAAGTGACGTTTATTTTAATACAAGTTTGCAAAGAAGTATGGCATCGATGTTGTGCATTTACTATATACAGACTAGTCTTTTTGAGACAATCTATAGCGTAATTTTAAAAAATGAATGTTTTAGATCGTTTATTGTGTGAAAGTTTAAATACAGCGTTTTTTAAACATATTTCAAATGCCTCACATTTGTTGCCAAAACACAAAACTAAAAGTTTATGCAATAGGTTTTAAAGGTTAGGCTCTAGTAATTGAAACTTTATAGTGGCCAGTCCATGAAAGGATATATTGTATTGATCTCGTGAAAATCATAAAAAAATTGCAATAATCGCGCCACGTTTATTTATTTAACACCTGTATAAAATCTGAGTTTATTTGCGGCAAAATACAAAAACTGCACACGAAAGCTGACTCTTTACCTTTAAAACGCATCTTGATTTTTATCCTTAAAATACCTGCTTTTCGTGAGACCAAAAGAGGAGTGAAGACATCAGAAGGCAATGTAACGTGCAGAGTATAAACGAGTAGATTATTAACAGAAAAAAGAATACAATAATCACATAAGTATCATGGATTGAAGCAAGGTGGCCAAAAGAGCAATAGACATAAAAAACGGTTGAAGAAATTTCAGCCGTCCGCCCAGTTGATGGAGCGACAACCTTACATAGAGATATTAATCCGCCAATTAACAAGCAGAATTGCTTATAGCAAAGAATAAGAAGGAGAAAAAAACCTATAAGTCGTGATCAACTTTGATAAATCAAATAAAATCGATAAACTTAACAAAAAAGAACGAATTTATTAAAAAAAAGGTACCCTTGTACGAACTAGTTATATTGGTTGCATACTGCGAAGGTGTTGAGAGTAATTTCCTAATCTTAAGGTGTGACAAAGTAACGATGATTTTGAAATCTATATGCATGATGCATGCGACAACTCTATAATCGACTCATAAATTATGTTTACTTTCTTTAAGTGTTTTTAATGCATTAAATCTATTTTTTAAATGATAAGGAGATAAATAAATATACAACTTCAAAATACATTAAAGATGTAACTTTCTTATCTCTACATTTTTTGACACGCAAATAAGATTATTTTAAATCAGTTTTTAGCATTAGTCAAATCGATAATACAAAGTAAATCCAGATTTCCCACTTTCCCGCTAGATTGATGCATTTAAAATTTAAATCAAAAGATGTTTTTACTTAAAACTATGTAGTATCAATCCTGATTGAAAAATAAACTATTCAGTAAAAGCTATAATAGTTTAGTAAACTTTGAAGCAGATTTCTTAAACGTTTGATTTATTTAAACACATACTAAAACAATACACACATGATTAATTTAATTAAAAATTGCTCTTTATATATGAGAAAGTTGAGAAATTATATTTAAATTCAAACTGTAGTTAGGATAACATGTTTATGCTCACTGTTAAATACTGCAACAAAACACCCTTTTAAATGCTGCAACAAAAAACGCAATTTAAAATGCATTTTTACCTATATAATATTCAGATGCTGTAATCATTAGTTTTTTGTTTAAATTTTAAATTCCTTTATTTGACGAATTAAATAAAGGAAAATACTTTCTTCTTTCTGTTTTTTTCTCTTTTGTCGAAACTCCTCTTCAGTGGTGTCGAAACTTCAGGGATGCCGAATGAGGGGTGTCTTGAAAGGTATTACAGATAAAATATCTGCCATTGGAATTGTTTTATAAACCTATTTATCATATTCTGACAATACTGTTTTATTCAAATAAACTTGTAGAAACTGTAAAATATGCCCTACTTCAGACCTTCAACATAAGGATTTCTACTATTATATTAATCGATATAACAGTTCCAAAGATGTAATTTTGTCCATCTCTACAAATACAAAGTTGAGGTTAAGTTGTTCTTGTTAATTTGACATCTGTGTAATTTTTTGTAATAATTTATATTTAAATTATTTTTTCACAGACAAATTAGGCTTTACAACATGAATACGTAGCCAAACAGAGAAATAGAAGCAAAAATTATTTAAATATACAAAAAAATTAAAAATATTTACAATACTTACTAGTTTCCTTATTAAGTAATGGTTATTCATATCCAAGTAATTATAAATGGTAATTAGATTTGGTACTATCAATATTTGCTAAGATGAGTTAACAAATATTTTGGCAAGTGGCTATTGCTAAAATGGCAGATTATGAAAAACAATTTCAAGAAGACCTGGAAAGAGCACAGGCTCTAAGTTTAGAATCTTTGGCATTGGAGCAGTTTAAAACTAAAAAGTTACAGGAATTAAATAGATCTGCTACAACCATCAATGTTTCCACTAGGCCTAAACTTACATCAGGTTAGTATTATGCTAAGTTAGATTATATTAATTAAGATATAGTATTGCCCAAATTCTGTACATTTTTCTACTAAATTGTTTAGTAATCAAGAATGTTATAACTATTATGTATTTTGAACTTCACACCTTGTACGTATAATTTAGACTTACATTCTTCAAAAATAATACTTTTCAGATTTTTAAATGTTATTGATCTAGGAAAAATATTACACAAACGGGAAAATAAAACTGTTTTTTCTTAACTTTTTAAAAAAGTTTCTCAAATTGTAATTTGAGAATAAACAGACTATCATATTTTATAATGTTCGAAGCCTTCTAACACATTTTAAAGTATCATCAAAGAATATAGACGCATATAGAAGAATATATGCGTCAGTATTCTTTGGTATCATGATCTAACTTATTATGGACTATTATAAATTTACCACTTAAGTAAAGACTATTTAATATTAGTTATTGTAATTAAAATCAGATTGTGAAGTATATTTATTTGACACATAATAATAATGTGTCCCAAATGTAATGCATAAAATTCATAATTTTGTTCCTAATAGAGTTTAAAAAAAATACAAAAATAGGTCAATTTGAGGCTATCTACACTGGGACCAAATATCTAACCTATTTACAGAGACTTTACTTTTTAAATAACCTCACAACCATAAGTATAAGGACCCTTAAATCTAGAAAATGAGGAGTCCATTCAATAAACCATCCTCTATGTATCCATCTATTTGGAAATATTTCTTGAAAATAATTCCACCCACAATCTCTAAAATTAGGCAGGGCACATCTTGCTAAAACGAAATATTAGGTGATACATCCAGATCATCTTTAGTAGAAAATGTGACTGCTAAGACTGGGATAAAGTCAAAACATAAAAAGTCTTAGTCAACATCTGCATTCAAATAACCATCAAAAAAATATGGGCCCACTATCCAATTTCCAACAATCCCAGCACAAACAGTAACTTTTTATGGCACTTTTATATGACCTTATTGCAACCAATGTTGATTTTCAGAATACCAAAAAGCATTTATTTTATATAGTAATGGTTCTGTTTAAATAAAATATTGCTTCGTCAGAAAAAAGAATACAGTTTTTTTACATCGGGATCTCTTCTGAGCAATTGCAATTGCAAATTCTGAGCAAAAATCCAGTCCGTTTTTGGTGTCATTTGCCCACAGTTCTTGCTTGATATTGATTTTGAGGGGACACCAATTTTCAGTTTTGGGAGATGAGTGAACTGCAGATTTTGGCAATCCAAAATTGTTTACTATTGAGTGAACTAAGGATTAAGGATTTTCAACAACACTCAACATAACATTGTGATAAATTATTTCCACTCTTGGTCCTTGACCATCCTGATATCAGTAAATATCTGTTCCCACTTGAATGAAATTTCCTGCTTACTGTACTTATAGTTGCTTATTTAATCCGCTGTTCTGGATATTTGTTATTAAATAATTCACACATTTCTTGTTAAATAAGCAATTTATCTTCACAACTAACCATAATAAAAATTTCTGTTTTTGGCCATCTCTTCTTTAAACACAAAACCATTTTTCCACTACAGATAGTTTATGTCAAATAAATACCATTATTTTACAATTTTTATAGTTTTTTGTCACATACTTTTTGTAATGTAAAAAATAAATGGGTGATAAATAACAACAAAACCTGATATACTCAGTAACAAAATTTTGTATTGGTTGAACATATTTAAACATGCCCCTGATATTTCTAAAAGTAATTAGACAATACTATACTTTTGAATTTGTTTCTGAAAGGACTATTCATTTATTCAATTAAATATAGGGTGTCCCATTTAAAAAAAGGTTTATTAGGTCATAACTTCAGCAGGTAAGATAGAAAAAAATTAGATGTGCAAAAAAAATTACAATTTGAAAATAAAAGTGGACCCTTTTTTGTATTGTTTTAATCTCAATCAGGAACAATATTATGAATTGTTTGCCTTACTTTTGGGACACATTGTATACATTAATACTGTTCTTTAAAGAGACCAGAAAATATGCACTTGATCCTGAAAAAAAAAATGAGTAAATATATTTCTAACTACAAAAAAAATTCTGTTATATAAACTAACACTGCTAAATTAAAAAAAAATATATTTGTGTGCCTCATGATTTAAGGACATTGCTGATCAGCAACAGCTGTCTGCAGCTGTTCTGAAGAGTTTTATTGTTGTTTTTCTACTCTACTTTAAAATTTTCAACCAGGATGTGCATTGTCTCTCCGGTTCTCATTTCCTTCCACTTTCCCTAGTTTAACCAAGCACATCATATTTTTCATTTCTTAGTATGTGACCAAAGTAGCTCATTTTTCTTAATGTTTTGGTGTTTGTTACTTGTTGTGTTCATGATATTTTCTACATTTTTAACATCAGGTGTCAGTTATTTTTATAATATCTCTCAAAAGTTTTTAGAAGGATTTTTGCCTTGATGGTGTTTTTTAATATCTAATTTTACAAATATGCACCCTAATCTTTTATATTTCTTGTTATGGGTGTAGTATAAAAATAGATCTGTAGTTGCAAGTACAGTTATAATCACATATGAAAATTGGTGTAATCTAAGCAATTTTGTGTTAACTGTGGACAATACTACATAAACAAAAGAAATAGTAAGACATATCAATTACTGCAACTTAGACAAAGATAAGGCATTCCTGGTTAAAGAAACTGTATGAATGGTGCAACACCACAGATGAGTATCTATTTAGAGTGATTGTTTCAAAAGTATGCATAACCCTGATGATTACCTACTTGAACTATGAAGAACACAAGATGATTTAGCGATATCAAATCTGACATACTACTTTCAAACAGTGTCAAAAACTGAATATGTGACTACTATCCCATTAAAAAAATTATAGAACTGTTAATCCGAAGTGGTTTACAACCATTGTTTACCTGAAGTTTTCTTAAAAATGCAGAAAATAAGTAAAAAAAAACACCTAAAATTATTCTGTAATAGGAAATGCAAGCTCCCATATGTAACACAACAAATATGGAACTTGTTAAAAACATGGAATTGCTGAACTTTCCTTATGGTCCCGACTTCATTCATAATGATTTCATTGCATTTCCATACGTCAAAGACAAGTTTTACTTGCATGAAAAAGTATACAATTTAGTGATGAATATTTTGAAAAATATTTTCATAAATACTTGTTTAATTCTAAATATTTTGGTTTTCATCTATCCCATATTTAAGCAATTATAGAATAATAAACTGACAGCCACAGTTTAACCAAGAGATAAACTAATATCTGATTTCATTAAAACTAAGTAATTATTTGCTTAAAAGCATATGGTAACTATTTTGTGATTATTTTCATATGTGGGAGACCATTGCGTTAGATTGAACATATCTCATCAGATATTAAAAGCATAACATTCCTAGACCCAACTGTGGACATATATTTGGCACTGTTTTTTAGATAGGCAATTACGATGTTCTTTTATTTATTATGTTGAACATTTGCCTTATCAAAAAAAAACATCAACCCTATTGACTGAATCCCTACGAAGTAGTTTATGATTTTTAGATTCAATTTAGTTTTAGTTAATATTAAATAGTTGGTAAGTGAAACATTATTTTTTTATCATAATGCCTTAAAAATGTCATTTCCTTTCTTTTTCATGAACAATATATACTTTTTATGACATATTAAACAAGCTTATACATAAGATTTCGAAATTACCCACAATGTCTATTTATGAGGAGCTACAAATGATAGGGCAAATTAATTTACTTAAGATGCCGTAACTGGCTAATTACCTGGCTGGAAGCAATATTTGCTCCTTTATCTCATTACAGGGTTTTAACTATATTCCGTTTGAAAATTATTATTATCACAGTTTTTATGACACAGCTGATAATTTCAAATGTAATCCTCAACCAGTGACAAAGAATTTCAAAATTATTTGAAATTGGCTTGTCTCAAAGTAAGTAAGTAAGTAAGTCTAATAAACCGTAATGTAGGTACTTACATAATTGTTGGTTATTAAGATTTTCATTTCCATCTCTTCCTTTAAATGTTTAGACCTGAAACATAACTTGCAGAATTCTTAGTTGTTAACTAATAGGGATAAAAATTAATATTAAGCGAACTCATGCAATAAAAATGTGTCATTTAACAGGGCACTTAAATACTATGGTGTTAAATATACATGAATACAATACTAGCACTGTTTGGAGCATAGTTTCTAAGTGTTCAACCATAATCTGGGTTGTAGAAGCAACCATTTATAGACTTTTGAAACAATGAAATAAAAAAATAATAATCGGCGTATCAATTTCTCGAGTTAGCCGCGCGGGGTCTAGCTCGCGAGGCAAACTTAACATTTGCCTCGGGCGGCGCACCCACATTATTTTATTTTAAATCAACTTGTGCCGTGCGTGGCATCTCGAGCCATCTCGTACAACCGTGCGAGTATCACCGTAGTTAATTTAGTTAATAATGGATGTATCACGTGCTGTTGCTGCTTTTATTCACGTATTCACGAACTTAAAAAAAAACAAAAAACGTAAAAATAAACCCGATGCAAGACATTAAATTTGAAGCAGTAGAAGAAACAATAAGAAATTTATCTCGAATGTCCCAAAATAATTTCGATCACATGTGTTTCTTGATTAAACCACGAATAAGAAAAATAATGATACACTTTCGAGAAGCCATCTCAGTGCAAGAAAGACTTGCGGTAACACTGAGATTTTTAACATAACTTTTTTTATCCTAGATTTTTCTTCTTTAACGGTTGGTTATCTTCTTCTTTAACGCATCAACAGATATACATATTGAAACGGAGATTTCTTGTCAGACGTCCTTTCTAAAATTTCTGTTGTGGTAATTTGCATTTTTTGCATTCCATAAGTGTGGTATCCACTTTTCGCGGCAACGACAACGAACGAGCCGCGCGCTGGTAGCCTCGCGAAATGGATACGCCGCTTTACAGAAGCACCAAAAACGTCAACTGGAAGAAATCTCCAGCAATATAAACATAAAATTTCAATTTTATATGCTGACCGTAAGCCTTTAAAAAAAACTAGACAGATACAAAACAGATATGACTGTCATACAAGAAGTGAGGTGGTTTGGAAAACAATATACCTAATGGACAAAAGAAGCCATAAAATTTTCTAAAGCTGCGATCCTAATAATTACATCTTGTTTCTTAACTATCGTCAGTACTTAGAACTTTTCAAAAGGACAGCAATTACTGCGTTCTCTGAATTATTTAAAATTAAAAATCATTTTTTGAATTCTTCATACACCTTTCTGGTGTTATTTCTGATTTACTTATTTAAAAGTGGTTTCAGTTAAATTGACTACAACTTTCCAGAGAAGTAGCTTTGGTCATGCTAATCAAAAGCTATCATTACGCCAACACTCAGAACTCAATGAGTTAAAAGAGTTTCAAATGGTCAGCTTTTAGTCCATTTTTCAAAATCAGGAATTTGTAAGCGTACCGTCCCACACATTCAATATTATGTGGCATCTGAATCTCAATAAACACGAATATTAAAAAAATATATATCCCATGTAGAATATCAGTGTCGATGTCACGGTGAAATATCCGGTAGATATTCTTATGGATATACTACCAATTATCAACCCGATATATCCCACCGGGATATCCACATGGATATTCTACCGGGATATCCCACTTTTTTGGCAAGTATACATTAATAAATATTATTCCTGTACCATATTAGTGCTTATTGAGATGCCGTATATTGAATGTGTGAGACGGTACATTTCTATTACTATTTTTCTTGGGAATAAGCCACAATTTTAGATTAAAAGAAGTTTATTGACATTTCAATTTCCACTTCGGAAATCGTTTTCAAAATACAAAACATTAATAAGTTAATCAAATTTTGTTTTTTGTTACTTGGTGAAAAATTCTTCTAATAATTTAATTTTTTCTGACTCATTTATATTGACAATTTAAACATACATTTTAAAGTAGACGACTTTAAAATTATATTGCTGTGTTGCGTTCCTGAGACGACTTTATTGTATGCTAATTCATTCGATTACATAAAAGCAACTTTAACTTGAGAATATCCGTCAGAAAAATCATAAAATGTGAGTCGTCTTTAAACAACATGCAATGACAACCACATATAATGATTTCTAAATTCATGATTTTGAAAATGGACTAAAAATCGACAGTTTGAATCTTTATTAACTCAGAAACAATTTGTGATTCTTAAGGCAATAAGAACTTTTGATTAGCATGATAAAAAACTACCTCTCTACAAAGTTTCAGCCAATTTAACTGAAACCACTTTTACATACCTAAGAAATACAGCAGGAATATTTGCACGGATACAACAACCAATGAGTTCAGAGCTGTCATGTTTTAGGGAGAACATTTTGAAAAATTTTGTAGCTTTGCCCCTATTTAAAAATTTATTAGTGGTACTTTCTGCTATTATTCTGCTTTAATGTATTAGACAATTCTTGAGAATATAATAATGAAATGAAAAATATGCGTTAAGATGTTTTATTTCTTTGCAAAGAAATACGCCTAATATGAAAAAAAAGAAGAGATATTTTTGTCACAAATTAAACGAAGAATTTAAAAATTATTTTGAATTTAAAATATCTCAGTGGCGTAACATAATTTTTTTTTTTTTAAATTCGAGATCATTACTTGTGTGCACGCCAATGATAAATATAAAACTCTTAATTTTATGATAAAAAAATGCGAAATAACTACCTATTAAAACTAACCAAATTTCATTTGTTTATCTCAACTGGTTTCAGGGTAATAAATAAATCATCAGTTTGTAAGAAAAATTTCAACACCTCGTATCTTGGAAAACGAAGCATTTGCGGACATACGTTGATATAGCAAATTGTCATTATTTTTCAATGCAGAATTATTTCCTGGCATTTGCTGCACGTATTTACTAACATCCTGTATATTATACAAATATTTATTATTCAAATGGACTAAAAACAGACCCTTTGAACATCTGTAACTCAGAAACAACTTTTATTTAAAAAATACTTTATAAAAGGTTATAATATTCTAAAATTGTCCTTTCGGGTTACATCACAAAATGTTTTTGGGACTAATAAGTCCATCATCAGTGCAGTTACCAGGTATACATGAGTGAAGCTACTAAATATGAGGATAAAAACCCTTCAGATGATGTTAACTTTGCTAAATAATAATTATTTGTTGTAAAATTTAAATAATGGGCAATTCGAAAGGGCAATTTTAGAATATACTATATATATATATATATATATTATATATTATATATTATATATATTTTATATATATATAAAGGTATATATATATATATATATATATATATATACCTTTTATAAAGGATTATTTAAATAAAAGTTTTTATGATTCATGGTATACAGCCAACTACAGGAGTTTCATTTTCCTTGTGGATCAGAAACAAATGATTTCTGAGTCGTGAGGTAATGAGAACTTGTGATCAACATGACCAGACCTACGTATCTGTAAAGTTTCAGCTGATTTAACTGAAACCACTTTTACATAAGAAAAGTGCCGAATCCTTTATTTTAAGAACTGAGAGTAACTACTATTATATAAATGTAGTGAGTGAGTTAACAGAGCTATGGAACGGAGGATGTCCAACATTAAGTTCGCAAAGCCAATTTAGAAATAAGAAGACGATCAAAAGTAACAGATGTAATCCAAAAGATAGCCATGTTAAAATATAACTGGGCAGCGCGCATAGGAAGAATGGAAGACGACCGTTGGTCGAAGCAAGAATTGTTGAATGACGACCAAGAGCAAACAAGGAAAGTACAGGCAGACCTCTAACGAGATGGACTGATGACATCAAGCGAATGACTGGTCACGAATGGATGCAAAAAAAAACCAAAGAACAAAAATGAATACACTCATCTAACGGATGCTTACATCCGACGATGGATGGAATATATGTTGATGATGATTATATATAAAAATCTCTACCTTTTGTAAACTTTTCACATGTTTTCGTTTTAATTTTTTCATTAATAGTTTATCGAGACAATATACCATGAATAATCAAACTTATTTTTTGTAGTTACCCGTGCTGCATCTATGAATGAAACAGATTCTGGTCAGATAAGATATGATAGACAGCAAAGTAAATCAAGACCAAGACCAGGAGTACAATCCAGTTCCGGCAATTCACTTCTGGCACCGCCACCATCATCGCAACGTAAAAATAGCACCTCAAATGATCCAGATACTCCAGATTTAATTTCGTTCTCTAGTCCACCAGCTACAACATCTACATCCAATGACATCATTGATTTTTGCAAGCAACAAAAGTAAGTAATCAAGTAGAATTTTTAAAGATAAAGGACGCAATGTTGATTTGTTAAGAAGATTATCGTTTTTCTTTATTTTCCCTTATTAAGACCTGAACCAGATCTTCGAGTAAGCAGACCGGTCTCTTTGTATCGTCGCCATACTCGTTGCACACTCGAGAGAGACTTGCATCAACGTTTTTCGCCGTTTGGTGCTGACCGTGGCCATCTTCTAACGCCACCACAACAGAACTTATGCTCATTTTAATACGCTGACAGTTACAACACTACACAAACAATTTACAATTGACGTTAAAATCACAGAAACAAAAAGGTTTTAGGATTTAAGATAAAGGTCCTTTTTTTATCTCAATCAAACTCTTATCGGAATAGCAACATTTTTTTTTCATGAAATTCATTAGTAAACTATGTTACAACCGAAAATAGTTTAAAAAGAATAATAATTTTTAAAATAAATTCAAATTACCGGGGTGACCCTAATTTTATGCTCGGCATCGTATAATGGTTATGTCTAATGATGCTTTTTTTATGTATGTATTTGGATATTTTTTATTCAGTTATTAATGAAAAAATAAATACTTATGACAAGATTTGTATTCTGGAAAAGGCACGTACCAAAAATACCTAATACTATGTCGTTATACTTACAAAAAACTTAAAAATATTAACATTTATTACATAAAATTAGCTTGGGACAGGGATTTTTGATGTAGTGGAGAATTATCCATTCATTTTTTATCTTTATACTAAAAATTTTTATTTGTTTTAGTTATAACCAACAGCTGGTACTATCCTCTTCAATGTTACAACAGCAACCATCCCACTTTAAATTTTGGCCCCAAATGGCTATGACGCCTCCAACACCAACATTTGCATCGAACATCCCACATCCTCCTCAAGGTCTGATATACCCTAACGGAAGTTACTATCCCCCAATAAATAGAGTACAGTATTCCTTGAATAATACAAACAGTCCCGTTGTTCCGCCTACTCCTTGGACTAGTGCGTCCACACCATCCAGTATTAACGCGAGAACTCCAAGCTCTGTAGGATCACAATTATCTTCAGCTGCATCGACACCTAATTCTGGCATCAGTACACCCGTCCAACAGCATAGTCCTTCCCCCAATATTGGAAGTTCTCTACATAGACCATCATCCATTCCACAAATGCAGGTAAGAATTTATGCTGATTTATTTGTTAGATCGCAATAAAAATTTAGAAAAGGCTCGATTCTTTAATTTGTGCTGTTCATGTATTTAATTAACGCTGTTAAAACTGCAAAATATATAGAAAAATATGAGAGATTCCGATTCCCTATTAAAAGTTACATGAAGGAACATTATGAAATATTATATATATTTTAAGTTTATTATATATTATTTTTTACTTCTGGTTTGGACAACGTTGAAAAACACATTAGATACGTCTCTAAAATCATGTGTACTCTAGAGAAAAAACACCTGTTGTATTCTCCCCACTTACTAATAGAGATTAGGTACATAATCACTTCATCAGAATTTGGCTCTACAACTCTTTGTGAGTCTTGTCCGCGTTTACTATTTCCCTCCATTGTTGTCGGTCCTGAGCAGCTATTTCCCATTGCTGTATTCCCATTTTACGTAGATTACTGGCTACTGCGTCCTTCCACCTCTTTCTTGGGCGACCAACTGACCTTCTGCCATCGGGCCTTTCCAGAATGTGGCGTTCAGGAGTCTTTCGCCACTCGATCTTAGCACGTGGCCCGCCCATCTTATTCGGTTTACTTTAATGTAGCGTACTATGTTTTCATCTCCATATACTGTCTGGAGTTCATCATTGTGTCTTCTTACGTAGTCACTTGGTTGTCTAAAAATGTTTGCCGCTTGCGATCTAATGCCTCTCAGGCATGCAAGATATGATGACTGTTTAGATTCTCTACCACAAAGACTGCAGCGTATGTCTCCATGAAACAGTTCCATTGTTTGCAGTTTTACCTTAACTGGCGTATGTCAAGTAAGAAATAATGTTATGACTCTGAGCTGATTGCTTGTTTTTCGCAGTACTTCAGCACTATACGTCCAATATACATTTTGTTATGCGTTTTACTGGGTATATTTTCCCTGTGTGCGTGATGTTGCCTTCGAATCCAGGTTTTTTTCCGGCCACGGACGATGTGTGTCGGGACTTCCACGGCCGGCTCTGGACCGAAGTTTTTTGTAGTTGATTCTGTTCTGGCATGTGTATTACCGTGTATTCTCAGCTGACTTGGAACCTATACCAGTGTAACGCTGTTATGTTTTGCTACTCTGTCGAGTTTCTCTCGGTATTCCCACAGTAGCCTAGAGTCCACTTTAAGGCTTATGAGAGCCTCCATGACTGCTTGGTTATCTGTGTATATATTGATTCGCTTCAGTTTAAAAACCCTCATGTTAAATTAGCCTTCAGGTTAACATCTTTATTTTTAAACATGTTCACACTAGTTGCCGATATGGTGACTTGATCCAAATTGTTCCAAATATTAAATATTCTGCTTGGCAAGAAGTTCACCCTGGATCTTGCAGTAGTCTGTTCTCTCTTTAATTTATAGCGATTTAAAGGGAATATGGTGTTTATTCTGGGCGATCTATTATTATTCAAACTATATTAATATAAAAAGAGTTGTTAATAAGTAAGTGGATAATTTCTATACCTGGTACGTCTATTGTTTTATTACTGATGGAAAAAGTATTAGTAATTTCATTTGCTAAATAGATACATATCCTTCCTCCTCGACGAGTACCTCTGTCTCTATGAAATATACTAAAATTATCAATGTTTACATAATGATGGAGAATATACAGATCAGGTCAAAATCTTAAGGGAAGTGGGACACGGGTGCATAATTTCACCACTGATATTCAATTTGTACTCGGAGCACATTTTTGAAGAGGCTCTAAAAGATATTGATGAAGACATCTAAATAAATGGAGTCAAGCTCAATAATCTGCGATATGCAGATGATACAATAGTGTTTTCCAATACCATAGAAGGGCTGCAAAACTTAATGAACAAAATAACAAAACCAAGCTAATGATCATCAGCATCAGCAAGGAAAACATAACTGGAGCAAATCTGTATGTGAACCAAATGAGAATTGAATGTGTCTCATAATACAACAACTTGGGAACTATACCCGAGTACAACGAGTCGTGGGACAATACCCAAGAGTTTACATGTCGCATCGGAAAGGAAAAAAGTGCATTCTGGACTATGAGCTCTGTGTTCAAGAGCCATGACCTCACCCTAGAAACAAAAATAAGGCTCCTTAAATGTTACGTGTACTCAGTGCTTCTGTACGGAGTAGAAACGTGGACATTGAAGGCGGAAACTCAATCAAAACTTCAGGCGTTTGAGTTGGTTATACAGAAGGATCCTGAAGATACCATGGACAAAGTCACCAATGAAGAAGTACTGCGGAGGATGAACACAGCTGCGGATTTGGTCAACATCATAAAGGGCCGTAAACTGCAGTACTTGGGACATGTAATGAGAAATCAAAGCAGATACTTCAATGCATTTTGCAAGGTAAAATTGAAGGAAAAAGGGCCCCAGGACGAAGAAGAATATCGTGGCTTGCTAACCTGAGAGCATGGTATAGAAAGACCTCAGCACAGCTATTTCGTATAGCAACCAACAAAGTCATCATAGCCAGAATGATCGCCAACGTTCGGAACGGACAGGCACCCTAAAAATAAATATTTACAACAGCATCGGAGATAAAAGAATTAAAACACGTTTCTGTTAGGAGAATAATATGAGGTTTTAAATGTTGAACAGTACTTATAATTCATTAAATTTGGACAGAAGAGAGTTTGGATTCGTATACATAAGAAGCCAATCCGTAAATTTTGGTGCAAGAGAATTATGAACGAAATTTCATTATCTTTGGACAGTAATTCACATATTTATCCATTATTTTTACGAGTTTCAAGCTCAGTACGAAGTTGTATTAACGAAGTTGCTGCATAGGTGTCTTGTTATCAATGACATATTGAGTTTCAGTAGATTTGTTTTCCAAAAGTTTATTTTTGTTACGAAGAATTTTTCGAGTGTGGTATTCAGAACTCATTATCACTTTTATCATGCGGGGATAACGTTCATTTTGATTCGGTTTACCGACTCTATAGTATCACTATAGTAGTTTACCGACTCTGTAGGTTCAGGGACGCCTCTACAAAAAATTTCTGGAACGATATATGCGGTCAGCGGCTTCATTGACAATGCTGTGGATAAATTCTATTGTTGTAATAGAATCAAGTTGATTTAATTTATTGTTGAGTTTAGACAGTTTAATATCAAAGTCTTCAATTTTCTTCTTAATGTCCACTTTAAACTCTTCTAGTAGGAATCTTCAATATGTTGCCTGTGTGAGTCCATTTCAAATAGGTAAAAATAAATAAGAATAAGACTTACAATCAATTTATTCTACCACCAACGACCAGTTTCGCATACTATAATTTGCTATGCATCTTCAGGTCAACGGTACATGTTAAACTAAATGCTGAAAATATAGTAACCCTTATTAGGGTGCTGTCTGGTCAGAATATACAGCAATTATGCCAATAAATTATGTGCTATATCCCCAACGAGTTTTAACTGGCAGTTTTAAAATAAGTGCTACCTTTGTTTCAATTTTTTCAATCTTTTAAAAGTGGCTAACAGAATGTGAGAGTTGTTGATATCTTTAATGATGGCTTTAATTTCTTCTTCTAAAGAAGCCATTGAAACCATTGAAGACGTTTTAGAAATGTTACCAATTAACAAATTTAAGATGTGAGCAATACCCCCATAAACAGATATATGTTTGTACTTCTCATAAATTATATGGTTTATAGGTTTCTGGCCTTAACCATGGCACTAGCATTATCAGTCACTGCAGCTTGAAATTTTTGGCGTCCTATTTCTTCTAAAACTTATATTTTTATAGACATATATTCTGCTGTATGTCGATTAGTGTCTGTAGACAAAGTTTTATAAAAAACTGGAGATAGAGTGGTGTTAATAAAGTTTAGTATTGGCTCATTCCTTCGGTTACTCCAAATACTATAGACTATAATACATACAACTCTTGACATTTCCCATTAGTTTTGTGGCAGCAAACAAAATAGCGCCATCTCATGGTATGAGTTGATAACTACAAACTTATGCATTTAACAGCCTGTTATTTAATAAGTGTTATTTATTAGTTTATTTATAGATTAAATCAAAACATAAATTTAATTGTGAGTTATTTTCTTTAATTTGATATTTTTACATTTTAATTTATATAATTTTTCCTTATTACTGTCGTTAATTGTATTTACATAAGCTTTTATTAACACATTAAAATATTTATCTATAAAAGTCTTGTAACAATTTGTACATACATTTTGAAGAGTTTCTTGAAAGTCACATTTTAATTTCAATTTATATTTAACATTTTCAACGCTTTCTTTTATATTCTGAAAATTCTGAAAATATTCTATTTTGAAAATACCTTTTAAATATTTCATTAATTTTATCTGAAGCTCCCTTGGCTTCATCATTTGGAAATTTAAAATTACATGATTTCTCATATTTTTTGTAACTCTATTAAGGTATTTTCTAAAGAATAATTATTAAAAGAGTTTAATACTGCATTTCTACATTGTTCGTGAGGCAATTGACTGCAAACCCATCCTAACACATAAGTCTCAGAATTTTTTTCGATCATATCGTAATTGCTATTACGTATGTCGTTTTCGGTGCAATGCTCGATAGGATTATTAAGGAATTCTTTAATTGGGTTTTTGAGCATTTCATCTTTTTGAATGCTTGTAAAGCCATTTCATCAAATACAATAGAAATTACTTTTTTATGCGGTAGGAGTTTTTTGCTTTTAATTTCCAACAATTCTAATACAGATTCATTTATACCACAACGTACATGCAAATTATTTAGACAAAATCGTAAAGAGTTTAAACTTGGAAGACAGAAAAAATTTTGAAGTAGCGTGTACGACTTTGTCGAACTATAGAATAAAGCTAAAGCAAACTTTATCAAACTTTCATACCTTCTTCCTCTTTTATGTCTTTGCGACAACCTTAATTGACTATTAATGAATTGGTTACCAACTTTATTCATTTTTAATTTTTCACCGACTAAGTCTAATGATCTTTGTTTTTTAAATTGTTGAAGTTTACGCTTTAAAATTTCATTTTGTTCTTGTATTTAG